GCTGTTACTGTCCAGATAATATCCAGATGTAGATTTGGTAGATTTGTAGCTGGTTAAAAAAGCTATTTGAAGGACAGGGAGTAGATGATTTGTCCCCTGTGGTACTGCTGAAGATCTGTAACTGTCATTATAAGGGTGCAAGGTGTCTCTGTGCACTTGTCTGTCTTTATCCGAATCTGAAACAAGAACAGAAGGTTACTGAAAGCTCCTACAAGCCTTTGAACTTACATCTAACAGCCAGGTGTCCTGTGCTTTTCCAAAGAGGACAGACAAGGATTTCACCCTCCATTGTGCTACGAGAGAAAAGACTTCTCAATTGGCACACTGCCTCAAGCAACATTTTACTTGTTTGACTTTGTTCAGCGACAGAAGAGCGAAAGACTTCCTCCTTGAACATAAATTGAATCCAGCGCTTTGTGAACACACTCGGTGCTTTGTCTCTTTATGTATCTGATAAAGGACAGCACCTTATTTTTACATGACAACTTCCTTCTCATACAAAGCAGACACATCTATATTTGTTTAGTTGGGGGTTGTTTACTTTTCAAGACCAGTGCAATCGCAGACAGTCGTCAAAGATTATTCAAACTTCCCTGTAGAATTGACCTGAGGTTGCACTGAGCCATCATTATAGATGTCATTTTCACATAATACTCAATGTCACATGTCGTGGCACCGTAACTCCACAGCATGGAGGAAAGCCAAACATGCAAATATAGAGAGCTCCCGAGGGTGTATTTAGAAAAGCTATACCCCTTGTATTGGCTTTTTTTTTTTTTTTTTTTTAGTTTGGATGAGTGTAAAAAGAGGACACAATTATTAACTGTCAAAACAAACAGAAGTGCCTTCTTTGGAACTGGATGTCATCGTAGTATCCAGGGTAGTTTTCCAACACTATAAACAGCTCTGAGAAAACAGAAGACTTCCAGTTATTGTCAGTGAACGGACTCTGTAATACATACTGTATATTAGTAATGTCTGCGGTTACACTCTCCGGAGTTTCTAAACATATCTGAGTGATTCATGAAATAGTTGGAAAGATTTTCCCACCAAGTAGCGAAGGATGAAACACTGTCTGTAAGAGTGGCCTCTATAGTATAGCGGTTCCCATCCTTTTTGGTTTTTGACTCTTTGAAATAAAGTAGAGCTGAAATGATTAGTAAAGCATGAAAACATGAAATTAATCGACATCTATTTTGATAATTGATTAGTCTTTAATATATTTTTTAAAGCAAAAATGTCATATTAGCTACTTCAAGCCTCCCAACTATAAGGATTTTCCGTATTTCTTTGTGTCTTATGTGGTTTATTAAACTAAGCTGATGGCCTTAGTGTCGCCGTATGTCGTGAGCAGCTCGAATTCTGTGTTTTTTTTTTTTTTTCTTATTTAAAGGACTTTTATGGGATTAAAGAAGTAGAATTTTTCAGAATTTCAATACAAATAGCAAAAATGTGAGTAAAGTAAGTAAAAAAAACAATTTTCTGTAAAATTGCTTTTTCTTTCTCATCCCTTTTAAGGAATAGTTTCACATTTTAGGAAATATGCTTACTTGCAGAGCGTAGGAACGTGAGTAAACATATTTCCCAAAATGTCCAACCTGTCCTTTAATTATCCGCTGACCCCTCTGATTCATCTCGGGACCTCTCTGGGGGGGTCCGACCCACAGGTTGGATCCACCTCTGTAGTAGCCCATAATAATATGGTTTGTGTATTATGAAATGTGGTTAATAATAAGGTTGTGCGTGTTCTACTGTACTTGCTGATCTTTCAGACTTTGGACTCCACTGCCGATGAGTCAGTTTCCAAGGCAAACACATAACAACACACTTGTTACATGAGATTCCTTAATGGGAAGTAAATATAGCAACAGTGCCAAACATTTAACCTAGTGTGCACTTTGACCCCATGACTCTACAAGTAACCAACCCAGTGTGACAGCTCTGATGAGGATGTATGACCTACCGTCACGTACAGCACTAGGCTGTCTCAGCACACTATCTGTTGGCCATGTGTGGGCTGGAGACAGAGATTACAACAGCGTCTCAAGGCCAGCTAGGCTGAACACTCAGCTATATGTTCTATAAACCAATATTATTCTAAAGTCTACACATGAGGTTGGAAATTTCCCTACACTTGAGGAATACCCTGCTTTAAAGCCAGCACGGACCACACACTGAGCTCCTGGTGTTTTTTCAACCAGCGTAACAACTATTTCAGGTTTCCGTGGGAGGAAGTCCCTCAAATTCTGCGGCTTCACCTATAGTGAAATACCTTTTCTCCAGTTACTGTCTCCAAGTGACTCATCAACTATTCCCATTTCACAACAGAGGGTGAGAGACATAACACTTAAGATTATAGGGCCACTTCGCGTGCCTGAGAGGGGAACGACCACGTCTTGACGTCACGCGAGGATCAGAGTTCCTGATGTGACATGGGAGGATTTCCCTCGGTTGCTAGGTGCCGGGGTTCCGTGTGTGGATAAACACGGGCCTCCTCGTGGCACACCTGTGTTTGAAGTCGACACTGCCACGCTGTCAGACCTCTCTACCTGTTGCTTCATCACACTGTTGAGTAACCATAGTTATTTTCCATTGACAGAGTGGTATCTGCAATAAAGTCAGTGACTACAGTGTAATGTCGGCATGGCAACCGAATAACTGAGGGGAAAGGTGAAGCTTTTGTTTCATTCACCTGTTAGCCTACTTATGCCGTAGGCACGAGAAAGTAAATGTACAACAGAGTTCAACGGTGACAAAATGCAGCTAAGTGCATTTACTTAAATACTATAGTAAACTTTTTAGGTAAACTAGTATTTCAATTGCTTTTTAACTGCGGTATATAAAGTAAAAGAAAAAAAAAAAGTACACATTGGGGCATCAGTACTGATAATTCAACAATTGAATATACAATAAATGAACACTGAAATGAGCCATTCTGCTGCATTTGAGCATGTTTACTTTTAATAATTTAAGTACATTTTTCTGATAAAACCTTGAATTTAGACTTTAGAGAATTTAAAATCTCAATACTTCTGTTTGAAATGACAATTAGCTTATTCGACATATTTTAACATAAATGAGGAACCTGTGTCTTTGAGAAATGTGTTATGATAACCCTGCGGTTAATCTTAGATAAGAGAGTATATGTTTATGTTAAATATTTGTGAACACAAGAGAGGATACTCATGTTTTGCTGCAACCAAGCGCTCTGTAAGCAATCTTGCAACATGAGGTACATGTCAGGTCTCCCCTCGGACTCCTCAGAGGTTTGAATTTGCTCCATGAATGCAACCTTCTCATCAAGTGCCAAATACTATATTCACATGCTCTGCCAAGTATCACAGAAGACTGATCCCCAGTGAGGGAGCGCACACGTCCACAAGTACGTGTATTCTACCAATGGCTACGCTGTGGGGATTTTATGACTTTGAGTTAGAGATGTTAACTTATGTTAGTTGTATAGGTGCCTGTATGAGTAGACAATTCTGTAAAGATGACTATCCTTCTAACACCAGACTGTTAAAGAGGTTGAAGTAAACTTAATCTGGTCTGAGCAGGAGTTATTACCAGTCTCATACCCGACAGTCAGATCACTGCTGGATAGGACAAGTATTCACATGCAAAACAGCAATCACTCAGAGATTAGGTCTGCAAATCAGCAAAAAAAATCCTAAAACAGACAAAGAAACTGTCTATTGTGATTTATCTGTAGATCTCTTTGCATTTCTCCAAACTTAACTGCATTGTTTTCTGAGTCACATTGTTATGACAGGAAAATCCTGCTTGAAATCACATTTTATTCAAATATTTAAGATGTCATCTCAGAAATGTTCATGTGCTGCAAAATAAAATGTCTGGAGATACAAAAACAGATAACTCTTTACATAATCTTGATGACTATCATGAACCTTGAAAGCTTAATAACACAGTGTTCCTTAGAAAGTGAATCATATTTTGTTCCCAGACTAAACACACCTGCTGTGTAGACAAAAACAGGTGCCTAGAAAAAGAAAACTTATCACACTGTTACACCTATGATAGAAGTCCATCATGTAATGAGTAATAAGAGATAATCTGGCATTTCAGGTCATGGTGACATAACCTGACCATGGGGTTTATTAAACATAACCATCAGGTGAATTGTCTTTGGAAACTGTTTGGAAAAGGGCAGCCACATTCAAAAACTACTTGGAGGTATTGGATGAAGCACCTGTCTATCACAGGCTAACTGTCAGTCGGGAGAAGAGAAAAAACTTTCTATTAAGAAAAGCCTTCAGTGCAGTTCTTTGCTCTTTTTTCAATAAAAACTCTCCAGTTCCAATATAACTGAGCAGCATCTAACCTCTATAGGAGCCACCACTGCATCCTATGCTGCGTCACACCTAGCCTTAAACCACGGCTGCAGCTGAAGCCTCCGAGGTCGCTGACCCGTCTGTACCACTGTGGTTTGGACACAAGAGCATAGCTTGAAGCCTGGCAAGATGGGATTCTCACATGATCTCGTGAATTCAGCTGCCTCGCAAGGTTAACCTTCAGCTCCTGCTTTGAGTGACTCACGTGAATCAAGAGTATCACAGTCGCTTTACAAGACAAACTTAAAGAATGACCTCATGCAGGGCCGACGCAGTCTGGCTTGGCATGAACAATAACTAGTCTGTGCCGGTCCATCCTACATTTCTCTCTAGCATGTCTGCGACCGCTGACCACAGTTTGAGTCACATCCTTCCCAGCTCTCCTGCATGTTTACGGAGTGCTGGCCTATGATATCACAGGGCCTGGGTATTAAGAGTCGCACTGTTTGAAAAGACCTCCAGGACGGGGTGGAAAGAACCATCCTGGGTTTAGCTACAACCACAAGCTTGATACAGGAAACCCCCCCTCCTCTGTGTCTCTCTGCAGAGTTTCCCCTGCATTCAGCATTCCTCATTGGCCTGTGGGACAGGTGCCTGCAGATGACACTATGACATCACACGCGAAATGACGCAAAGGAGACGATGGAACAGTTTCTCTAAATAGACATTTAATGATTTGAAATATGGTTACAGAGGGGGGGGGGGAGAAACAGGTGTTGGGATGGAAAGAGGGATTTTCAACTGGTATTCTATTTACCGTGCAACTAAAACTGACCGCATCTGATTTTTCTCTGTAAAGCTGAATGTCGTAAGGAGTCAAACTGACGAATAGAAAGCACAACAGCCATGCAGGAAGGCATCGCTCTGGCATCTATCAATGGCATCACATGGAGGTGATAATACAAAGAAAAGAGAGAACTCTGCTTTTTAATTTACAGTTATGAAACAAATAACACTGAATTGAAGTTCATTAACATGTAACAAATATATACAGATAATCAACAAATAGGAATTGTGACAGAACAAAGCAGCTTCATATAAAATATCATACTCAGACTGACCGAGAGAGTGTGTTATTAACCTGTGTGGAGGCGATTACAGTAACTTTAAGTGAGAATTGTAACATACTTTTTAACCATCTGACCCATCGTGATAGATTGTGTACTTCTCTGCAATCTATGGTTTGGATGTAAACATTACTCCTGCTTTCCTTGGCATTCGCTCACAATAGGAGCCACACAGTAGTAAAACATAATTACTTTTTTTTTTTTTTTTTAAACCATCTCTAACTCAGTCTAATGTTTGCATTGATCAAAAATTTATGTAACTTCAACAAATACAAAAACAAAACAAAAAGTATATACCGACAGTCCTCTGGTCTCATGAGTGACACCTGCCATTGATAGCACATTAACGGCTCGACTCCGCCCCCTCTGATTTCCACCTGCCTACTGCCGGCTGAGGCGCTGCCTACTGGGTCCGGAGCTGGTAATCTGAGGAGGAAATGGACAAGACTTAATCAAATGGACAAAGAAAAGGGGGAATCGGAGAGAAATCACGTGGAGGCAGCTGATGCTTTCCACCCAGAATGAATGGAATACAAAGGAAATGAGATGAGGATGTTTGGCAATTAGTGGCAACATTAGCAAAAAGACCAACATGTGCAACCTTGGTAATCTCAGTATGAAGATCAGGGAAGCTCAACAAGAGAAAGTTCACTTTCTCACATTTCGCCAGGACGTTGCCACATTGCCTCATGTTCTACAGTGTATCCCCTTTTCATAGAACTGCATTTCGAGGTTGGTTCCCACAACATTGCACTGCATTGCCCAACTGTTGCCTAATAACTGCACATATGGGCACTCTGTACAAGTATTACTGAACTCTTTAACTTACCTCCATTTTGGGTGATGTAGCGTACCCACGGCAGGGCCTGATATCCACTCTTCTCAATGATCTTTAGGTAGCGCACCTGTAGAGGGAAAACAAAGCTGAATGAATGACCGGTAGGAACATGACAAATTAAAGAGAAACCATTTTTCCAACACTTGATGTGAACATTTTTTAGGTTTGCACATTATTGCAGACGATGATGCAAGTAGCTGGGTTATATTGTAACAAATAACACAATATGCCTAAAGTCATTTCTTGGAATCAAGTTAATCGTTTAGAAAGTAAAACTACCTAATCTCAAACATTTTCCATCCTAAATTTATTCTGTGCAGGGCATGGGGGAGCTGGAGCCCATCCCAGCATGCACTGGGAGAGGGCCAGGATACACCCCGGACAGGTTGCCAGTCTAATACAGACATACAGACAAACCAAAATATAAATACATTCACACCTATGGGAACTTAAGAACCGACAATGAATCCATTGTGACCCACAAGGTTCTGGACTGTGGAAAGTACTGAACTGAATACTGGAGCACCAAGGAAGAAAATGTTAACAGGTTTGAACCCAGAACTCTGTAGCAATGTCTCACTTTCATATTACACACATATTCTTAGCAGGTTTAAATTTGGTGTGTTCAAACTGGAAACGTGACTAAATTAAGTATACTACAAATTGCAAGTACGCACATTACAGAAACACACTTGATTTTTGAGCGTACTGTTCCTGTACACTAGTCTTTAAAAAGCAATGCACGAAGAACACGGACGTGGTACAGCACACAGCTGCAAAAAATTACACTAAATTGCGGACGGTGGTGTGACATCTCCAAAAAGATCAGAGCAACCAAAAAATATAAATATTTTGAAAAACATTTAGCTTTTGTGTATTTGTCAGTCAGGTTGTAAAGTTGAAGTTTTAATTACATATACATCGTGCATATTTTAAGCATTTCCTGCTGGTGTAAAATGGTAGTATGTTGACTCCTTGACTAATGTCAAAAAGTATAACAAAAGAAGACAAAGTATAACATTTTGGATATAGTGAATACAATTATGTACTGCAACCACGCAACATCCGTCTTAGTGATTTGTAAAATATCGAGTGGTTTGAGGTTTGAGATTTTTTTTTGCCCTTTTATTGCCTTTATTGGATAGTGACAGCCGAAGATAGACAGGAAAGGTGGGCAGAGAGAGACGGGTCGGATTCGAGTCCGGGCCGCTGCAGCAACTCCGTACATGGGTCACCAGCTCTACCAACTGAGCTAACCGGGTGCCCAGTCTATGATTTGTGATTTTTGTGATCTGCTGCTCCTTTTCAGAGGATGCAGACACAAACTTTTCAGTGGCACCTTTCAAGCATCCAGGTGGCAAGTAGTCGATCTTTAAAAGACAGATTTTCAGTAGAGTACTCCAAGCTGCAAGTCGTAGTAAGAGAAGTGTTGCTGGTGAGGAAGCAGTAGTATGAGTCACACTGAGAGGGGGAAGCAGATACAGACCAGCTTTCAAGGGACACACAAAGTAAATTTACATAACTGTAACATGCTGTTTTTCAAGATCTGAGATGAAGAAAAAAAGTGCACATCAGCATAATCAAGACACAACTTTCACAAGCCATTAACCGATATTTCACCAGAGCAGTGTTACCACAGAGCTGAATTTCGAGAATACACTCTAAAAATACCATGCCATCCCGACCATCACTGAACACGATTGCACATTGTTTTTCCCAGACAGGTGGGGGAAACACTGTGAAAACTTATGTAACTGAAGCGATCTGTCCATATTAGTTAGACTTATAATGACTTGTTTATAAAAAGATTAAATATTACTTTATTTATTTGAATTTGTTTTTTCTATCACAATTCAACCACAATGACATCATTTCATCTTGTGGTAGCAGTACAAAAATAATTACAAACACATCTTTCATGCTTCAGTGTACTTCTGCAGTAATAACTTTCACACAAACGTTTCTGTTAAAAGAAAAAAGTCAGATCTGTACTCTCACAATTAAAAGAGATGAGAGCGCGGCCATTTTAAGGCTGACATGACCCCTTCTCTGGGAGATGTTGCCGTGCCATGTCTCCATCATGCTGGTTCCCAGCTGAAAGCGGGACAGACAGGGAAAGAATTTGTGGGCCGAGTGGCGGCGGGCCTCTGGTAAGGCCTCGGTAGTGTCCGCCTTGTTATTACCTTCCACTACACAGTGAGGTCAGCGAGAGAGAGAGAACGCCGTGGCCAGCAGACACATGACGACAAACACATAGACGCGGGATCACCAAGTTTGCCGGCGCAGCACTTCTCCCTGAACCCAGCAGCCAAACATGCAGTCGGCCTGACCGTGGGTACGCAGTCAGCAAAACGGCATCAAAAGCCATCCTCCGCAAAATATCATTATGGCTTGTAAGATGAGAAGGGGAAAGGAGGATGTTTGTTGTATCTCGTTTGGTAAGTACAGACTACATGTGTGGTCTGGATTTATCAGGCTTTTTGGTAGAAGCTATGGCCCCAAAATGCATCTGCCAACTTGTTTGGGTTCCTTCAACATCACCTAAAGATGGGAGATTTGAAAATGTAACAACAGTTCTGCTCTCATTGCCACTCGGGCCAAAGTGTGGGGTTACTCCGTTTCTAGTTAAATTTATAAGGTGCAGTTACGTGCATCATACACACTTCACATGTGCTCTGCCCTACAGTTAGTGGTGGAGTTAAGAGGAACTTTCTCATGCTTTGATATTTACATGTGTCTAATTAAACTTCACAGCCTCTTCTCACACGTAGAGAGTGGTGCTGCTGGCTGCATTAGAGTCTCAGACCCAGTCTGTTGCTGCCCTATAATAAGGGAAAGGTTACTGGCTTGACACAAGAGTTCGATGGGAATATGGCTCTTAATAGGTTGCTTCTGAGATGGTGGGTGCACCACAGTGTGATTGCAAACACTGAGCAAAGAGTTTTAAGCTTTTGGCTTGACAAACAGTTGACTGGTGGAGGCTTACAAAAACTTTGGACGTGGTGAACTGCTACAATTTAAGCACTAATCCTGATATTTTAGGGGTCTATAAAAGCCAGTGGACAATATTACTTCCAATATTTACTCTTAACTTCTCATTAAGTTATTTCCATTTAAATATTAAGAATCAAAACTACAAATAAAGTTTAGGGTGTAACCCCAAAATGGCCGTCTCAAATATTTAAGCAGAGAACATTTTGAGATGTTATCTTTCTTTAAAAAAATTCTCTAGCACTCAGTTGAAGAATGCCAACAACTAAAAAACACAAAAAGAAAGAAGAAAAAAAGTCCCCAGGGTGCACTGCGGTTTTCAGAACCAGACGTTTTCAGGTGGCTTCCTTCCAGGAAGTTAAAAATTTAACTGAAGACATTCATTCTTGACATTTACCCTGTTTATGGTTTCATATGTTTCATTGTATATTTGTTTGATTTAGTTTAGCTTCCAACTGCCAACTGAACAGAAAACCGTACAAGGAATACCTCAACAGGTCTGATGGTGCAACTCTAAAAATGTGCTCAACCAATCAGTTGAGATGCCCATTAATGGTAAAGGGAGTAGTGCTAAGAATCATTTGCAAGAAAATAGTACTGCCTTGGACTACTAAGGTTTTTTATTATCATAAACTGTTAACATAGTGATAGATGATCGATATGGTGGCAATATTTAATGTTAATTAGTTGTATACTTGCTGAAATTAGTATATCAATACTTCTAATACTGCTGATTATTTTAACACATTTAAGCACAATAATAGTTTCTACATTATTATCTGATCACATCACTAGGGTGTGTCCATATTCGAGTGAACATGACATTTCTTATGTTTGAATACAAATGACCAATGTTTTATAGAAAACCACAAAAAGAGGATCCATCAACCAAAAAGATGAGCGAGTATGATCTAGTTCTTCAAACACTGCACTTGTGTCGTATATCATATGACTTTTTTAGTTTTTTTAGGTTTGCTGTATTCTCATCGTGTTTCATTTATTCATCTGTAAAAAATGTTTTATGTGTACGTCATATGTAAAATGTTTTAGGTTTCAGGTTTTATACATGGACTATAAAAAGTACTGTAAGTGAAATGCTTTTTTACCATTAATGCACACACACACCATTTGGTAGAGACTTATAATTTAAAAAAAACAAAAACCTTGTAGTCCGTTAAGAATATATTTTTCTGTGCCCAAAGGAACGAATGCAAACAATATTTTTTCCATTGCTTTTTTCTGGGTGGCACCAAAAAGAGTAAAACAAAACAATATTAAAGTTAAATCCATTTTTTTTTTAAAATCTACATTTAAATAATTTTCAAATAATGTAGGACAAGGCTTTAATTCATGAACATGTAAAGCGACTCCACACCTGCCTTTGTCGCTGCATTATGACTTAATGCATTTGCTTTTAATCGAGCATCTGTTCATTTATGGATTGGCAAACATTTGAAAGGAAGGAAGGAAGGAAAGAAAAGGAGATTATTTCTTTCAGCTGCCAAATTACCTTGGAAAATGACAAGCATTCTTATACTGCCAAAACCGCCCCAATTAAGTATTATATATTTCAATTAACGTGGGTTTGAGCTTCTTGTTTCCGAGTGGGCTGCATAATGTCCATACAACTTAATAACGTTTTATTGACCATCATGGGAAATGTGGAGAAGCTGGAAAATATGACCTTACAGCTTGTTTTAATGAGAGTTAACACAGAAAGCCGTATTAAAAAGTTAAGAAATAATAAATAAATAAAAGTGTGTTATGAGATATTCTGACTGACATCAGCTGAAAAGAATAAAGCTGATCAAAAAGCTTATTGTTAAATAATATGCTGGTTGTTATTAAAGTAACTTTTGAAAAAGGACGTTTATCTACAATTTGAATGTTTACGCCATCCTCACAATTTAGTAACGCTCAGGCTTGGCTGCTTCTGAGTAGGGATCTACTGCCTAGACTTGCTTGAGTAACACAAACAGGATTGATTATGTAACAGGACCCGGGTAGTATTATTTAATTACCCATGTTCTTAAGCACATTTTGTACTAACACATACTCACAGGAACTGACTGTATACAATAGCAATACTGAAACTCTGAGGGAGCTGCTGTAGGTTGATGATATCTACAGATGTGCAAGCTGAGAATCATGCTTAGGTTGAAATTTAGGCATAAAATCGACAGAATGAATAAAATAAAATACAGAGAACTATTCCCTTTGATTTGTATTATAATGTATTACTCTTTTAATTTAAATAAACTGTCTAATTATTCGTTTAGGGCAGTGGCATTGCTAATTTGTCCTAAGTTCCTAGAAAACTAGCATTTGAATGCATGCACCACTTTAAACATAACTTAAGAATATTTCAGTTTAAGAGCTCTTGCTTTAGATAATAAAGCAGAATGTCTGATGAGATCTGGTAAATGCAACACTGAGGTGAGAGTATGTTAATGTACCTGTAGAAAACGCTGTTTTTTTTTCTTTTCGGGCTATAATATGATATTTTCAAACAGAGTTTGGTAAGTTGCCATTGTTTCCTCACATCAGGACATGGGAAAACTTAATTTTGTGTTACTGTGGTGCTGCACATATAATCACAGGACAACTGTGATTATACGGTAAGTGCAGCACATCTGTGTAAGTCTGTGGTCAGCAAGAGTTTTCATTCAAACACGGAGGAAAAACATTTGCTTCTCGTCTCAGTTTCATGGGAATCACAATCAAAATCCAATGAATCTACTTACCTGTAACTCAGAAGGACATTTTCTATCACTGTGATTAACATGAAGGCAGAGGGCCAAAGTCAAGCTGATGAGCAGTTTGTTCAACAGTAGAAATGTTCTCTACCACAAAAAGGAGTCTCAGTTACAGTACTCCCTGACTGCCCCCTCTGGCCAAAAACAGGACAAATATGAATTGTTTAAATTCCTGCTCTGGAGAGAGAGTTTGTTTGAGAGACACAGCTTTGTGCCGTAAATTCTAAATCCAGGATGACAGAGAAACAACAAAAAACCACAAGATATTTGGACTATGCATACAAGGTGCAAATATACTGCAGCATTTGTTCAAAGGAATGATAAACACACAACTCTTTGACCAAATGAAAATAGATTTAGTGCATTTTCCTGTGATAACATTTTGTCCTATTTTCTAGTATCTCTTCATAAGGAATTACATTTCAGCTTATCTTACCTCTACCCATGTACTGTTGCATGTAGGTTAAACAAATTACTCACAGAGTTATTTGTTTGAAAGAGGTCATTTGTAAATGAGTGCAGTGTGTACCTGGATGCCTGAGGTGGTGAAGTACGGGATCTCAAACTTGACACTGATTGGTGGCTTCCCCTCCTTGTCTTCTGCCTCTACACTCGGCAGACCGAAGTGGGCTCGCATCAAATACTCCTTTCCACCCTGTGACAAGTCACAACATAAACTCTATAATACTCTGGAAACCTCATGCGTTAAACCACGTTTTATAAGCATTAACTATAGGACAAATGCAGAAACTGACATTTTCCGACTATGAGAAGAGAAAAACACAAACTTCAACCCAAAATCTTATTTTGGTATTACTTAAAAACACAAACACAAGACCACACAGTAATTTTTTTAACCATCTATATGATACTTCATGAGTCATGATTTCTGCTCACAGGAAAGGACTTGATTGACCAGACGATCTCGCTGTTCTCAGGCACCCATTTCACGCTGCCCACTGTGGTCTTGAATTTGGGTGAGTCAGCATCCGTTGGCACAGGAATGTGGATCTCCACGTTGTTGGCTGTGGAACGCCTTTTGAACTGACTCTTTGCCTGAGAAACAAAACAAGCAGGTCAAGTTTAACACGCTGTTCTGCCTAAACATTTGCACGACATGAAAACAAGACACATAACATTAAGAAACACAAAATCCCATAAAATCATTACAGTACATTGTACTGCATTACTGCCAAATCATATGTTCCTGTACTTTATCTTTTATAAATAACTAGGGGACCCAGGTTTGAAAACAATGTTCCTATAAATGACTGCAACTGATGAACAAACTGAAAAAGTAACCAACCTTGATCATGTACTCGATCCGACTGTGGGAGTGCTTCTCAATAACAGATTCAATCCAGATCAAGGGCTTCACCTAAGATATAAACAACACACATATTATACCAGCAATCAAATTCAGCAGGCTCTATTACATTTAACATAAATGTCAGTTTGAATAACGTATGACACAGTCACCACCTAGTGACCAGCAGATGTTACTGCAACAAGAACCAACACAGAACATTTGAGAATAGGACATGAATTGGCTGGGTTTCCACCACTATCAATAAAAACAACAAACAGTCATATACTCAGTTATGCATTGTGTGGAATCACTGTTGTGTTTTCAATGTTGTAGCAGAACAAAAAACGGGACGCGCTGTGTATTTGTGGAACATGTTTCTTACTGTATACAGCCACATTATCACAATACCACATTTTTGAGGCTGATACTGATATTGATATTAGGGAATTTTAAAAATCTGATTGCGATACATCAGTCAATGAGACACTAAACCTTTTTTGTAACATAAACAACAATCTTGTAGTACTGAGCAGGACATTTCACAGCTAAATAAACTTGTCAGTGCTCTCTGGTGGACAAACTATGTAAAAGGTGCCACTGTTTGTAAATTACCTCAAATCTAGTTTGTACTGCAATTTTTTGTTACAACATTTTCATTCAGACATCAATATGGCTGCAATAAACTAATCAGCCTGGACGATTCATCAGTCAAACTCTGCTCCACTGCACCACTTCCTTTCCCACAAGCTGACTGGAAACCCTATTGTGAAACTTGATGAAGTTTAAACTGTATAAACCTAAATACGTGTCTGTGGCCTCCTATATTACTCATTATATGTTATTATCTACTCCTTTTCACAGCTATTCTTTTGGTATTTGAAATGCTCGTGGTCTGGTTGATGATGACGCAAAGTAGCCTCACTTGAACAAAAGGCCCTTCTCTTTTGTTTTTTCATAGTTTTAAGTTTTGTGTGTGGGTTAGTTTACAATTGTTTAAATTTTTTTTTCAGCCGTAACCTGTCAACTGCAGTAAAACCTCTGGAAAAGAGTTTGATCACTGCAGTTCTCATGAGAACGACAAAGATCCTCAATGAAGCATGTATGTTTCTAACTAAATTGTCAGAGAAACTTATGAAAAAGGAGCAGTTCAATAAAACTAAAATGCGATCTTATTGTGTCATGATGACAAAAAATCGTCTTGCCATGGATCTAGTGATGATTTTAAACATTTCAGATGAAGCATTTAAGTGATTTTCTAATGGTGCAGCACTGTGTTGTACCATTTTATATAGGCATTCATTTCTACCACAAATGTTTTGCACTGGTCAGGGGGTAGTTGGCTGAAAAAATATTTCAAAGGGGGTACATTACTGAAAATTTGAGAAACACTGCTGTAGTGTATGGTCATGATTCACCTGCTTTTACCACTGTTCATTTAACATACTAAACTAAAGGGAACATTCTGGTATATTTTAACCTGGCCTGTTTACCATAAATGTGGCCACTGTGACTCTACGGGCAGTGCTAACTCTGCTGTGGTTCCCAACTTGGGGGTCACCAAAGCTTCTTCTTGATTTTAAGAAAATTTCTAAAATATAATATCTCAACATTTGGTTCACTTCAACATTTGGTTCACTTCTGTGAAGAAAGCTAAGTGTAAAGTATATTGTTAAGTAAATTGTCTGTCAAAATTCATCCAAATTACAGCCTTCTTGCAGTTACTGAGTTCACTATTTGGGTTCATTGTACAGTTTTGAATGTAATATGAAATATCCATAAAATATGTCACTTAATCAGGAGTTGTCAGTTGACTAAACGATAGAAAAGGGGTCCCTTAAGGAAAAAGGTTGGGAACATTGGGAGCATTAACGACTCAACAGCTACCCTTGCTGGGGTCCACAGGAATACCCAACCATTAAGATATTTATGTTACAAGAATAAGACATTAACTTCTAATTGAAGTGTAGTCTTCTGTGGTGAATTCTGGGCATAACTTCATCCAATTAGTTATTTTTAGGGACTTTTTTTAATGACTTTATTTTTTAATCGAGACAGCCAGAGATGGACAGGAAACTGGGGAGGGAGAGAGAGGATGACATGAAGGGCCGCGGGTTGGAATCAACCCCAGGCCGCTGCAGTAAGGACTCTGATTCATTGGTTTGTATGGTGGACCGTGAGGACAATATCTGAGAACATGTATATTTATAAGTCTGTGTCTGATCCGCAGTACTCACATGAGTGTTGAGGCGGTAGGACATGAGCTCAAACTCTCCATCAGGAGGAATGAAGGAGATGGTACGGTCATTCTCAAAACGAGACAGACGAACACACTGGTGAAACTTGACATCTTCCAGCTCTACTGATTTACTCTTCCCACCTATGTTTAAAAAAAACAAAATAGATGACCTTAAAAAGGAGCATTGCATGAACTTAATCAGGCAGAGGTCAAATTGGTTTTGCAAATAACTTTTAAGGTTTTTCCAATCAGCACGAGGTAACAGGTGGATGCAACAGTGAGCGCCAGGAAGAATCATCTGATTGTTGTCACTCGTGTATACTTTGAAAGGATATTAATTATCATAAAAATGTCCATCAGGCAGCCAGCTCAAATATTTTTGTTAACAGTCTATTATAGGAGAGAACTCACGTCCAGTGTTTTCAAACAGAACCTTATCGTTAAGGCCGAGCCGCAACTCAGGCATTCCAGACAGGAACACACGCATCTTAATGGAGCCAACGATCTCACTACGTAGAACATTACCATTGGCACTAACCTGAAAAATAAAGGGATTGCAAGTGTCAGTGGGTCACAGAGGGACTGAAATCTGTAAAATGTTAGCCATTCAAAGACATCACTCCCAGAAGGTAACAGAAAATGTGGGAATATCAGTTAACTAATACTGTGACGCACGCAGGGAGGAAGCTTACAAACACTGTGACTGGCATTCTTTAAGCAACACAGCGCTTCTAAAACGAGGAGTTCCTACCAGGAGGTTGACTGACTCAATGACGTCCAGGAAAACCTCATTCTTCCTGTACTTGATGCCCTCTGACCTCCAGGAGACGGCATTGGTGACTGTGGCAGGGGGTCGTGGGGCGCCAGTGTCTAGCTTGTGCCCCTCCTGGGTTATGTATCTGAGAAACAAAAATGTAAACATTCAGGGCAAAACAGAGAAAAGGGGAAATCAACTGTCTGCAGTAGGAGAGTTCCCAGAAAGCATCAAAGAAGAACAGAGACTCTCATGGTTACTAAGGGAGGATTGTCTGACTTATTGCTGTACTCAGAACACTGGGGGAAATCCAGAGTTAGCTTGCTACATATCTGCGTCAACCACACTCCTGTACGCTTAAACAGTCACTGACAGTCTGCTTTAACCACAGACCTGTAAGTTTAAACGGTCATTTACAGTATCACAAAGGTTAACAAATCCTGATTTAACTGCTACACAACAGTTATTGCGAAAAACTTTACACCAATCAAAAATCTGGTTTATCAGTGTCTTACACTGGTTGGTAAAAGCACAGGATAATGAATATTAGCACTTAAAGAAAGAGCTTAACACATAATTAAAAATAACACAGAACATATATTAATTAAAGCTTCTGGTGTGAATTATAGTTTTTATGTTTCATGCAATTGTTAAAATGTAACATTTAAAGCAATTCGACATAATTTATAAAGTTTGATGTACAGTGTTTCCTCTCTGTTGATTTTGGAGCGGAGGCCCGCCGCTGTTAAATTTCTGCCGCCACGGTATCAGAAATGGGGCAGACGCACAATGTAGTCACGGTTGCCTTTTAAATGATCCTGCCGACATAATGCACCCCCTTTGGCTGCCGCTCACATTGCAATTTAACAACAAGTAGAACTATTCAGAGGTTATTGGGGCTGTCCAGTTTAACTCCACATACTGTTGTGTTGATGTAACTTATTGTCAAAACGTTCGCTTTCTTCCAGGTCGACTATTAAACTAACAGCTCCACCAAAAACGTCACCGCGGTGGGTCCGTTTTAATTGGACAACGTTCAACTTGTCAGTTCTCAGCTCTCAGGGTTTTCTGACTGCTTGTCAGAAATCAATTTGGACAATTTTTGGACATTTTACAGGCCTAATAACCGAAAGATTAATCAATAACAGCAGTATTGATTACTGGCATTTCTAATGAACATACATATAGGTAATTGCAGTGAGACTGCGGCTAAGAGGGAACTCACTCTTGCAGAATCTTGCTGTCTGTGGTTTGAGGATAACCAAAGTCCATCAGCTCATCCATCAGCTCATATATGATGACGAAGTTATCTCTAATGCTCTCTTCCTCCAATTCTTTGAAATACTCTGAAAAAACCTGAAGAACAAATGCTGTTTTATGATCCTGTTTCTCCATCATAAAAATATAGTGTATGACTTTGTTGCTGTTGTTTAGTGTCTAAATCTGCTGTAGACAAAATCAGCTATAAATCCTACCTGAACAATTTTGTACAAGAAGGAGAAGACCAGCGAGACGCTAGCATTTTTCTTGGATGTTGCCACCACTGTTGTGATGTGTGTTAAGAAGTTGAACTACAAGACTTCCAAGCAGCACAAAAATGATATATAATACAAAGTGTTGACATGTAGCTTAGGTAAAAATACCATGCAGTGAATAATAAGGATACAGTAGAGGTTATTGTGTTTGATCCACATGAAACGGACTCCACCATGGGCCAGGATTGGAGAGAGCGTCCCCTCCTCTTCTTTGTCCATCAGAAGTGTCATGAAGTGCTCAATCTCCGACATGTCCACATCTCCTCGGTAATTTCTGCACACCAGGACCTGAAAAGAACAGATAGTGTTCGTGCATTTTGCAATATCAAATGATAGCAACAGCTGCTGTACTGCTGGTAGTGCGGAAAACCTAAGGATATGGCTGCATAATTAATCAAAATATTATTGAAATAGTAATATGACCAAGTGAAATATACAAATCTCAGGTAAACTGTGTGACAAAGCAGCAATATAACGAAGAACGGTGGTGCTTCAGAGACGCTCTGGCCTACAACTCGTGTTCTCCAGATGCAAGAAAACATGTTTGTTTGGTACAGAGCCCAAAAACAATAATCATTTTAAGAGTTTTTTTTATTGAAAATGTAAATTGTGATGCCAAGGTGATCATTGGCACTAATCGTGAAATCATATTGGAATTGTAATATCTGTCAAAATAATAGCAATGTGAGGTTTTTTTTCCATATGGTGCAGCCCCATCTGAATCACTGTCACACAGTAATTAAAGTTATTAAAGTTAAAGAAGAGGTGTAGTTACCAATATAGCCAAAATCAATGATATTTTCACATGTGTTAATCCATTTATACTTTCTTTAATCTTTAAACAAACATCAGCAATCAAAAACGTACATTTTGTGTACAAAAAAAGTGCACTTTTCAATTCGGCATACATGTTGTGTCTGATGCACGTTTTACTTTTAACTATTTTACTCCACTAAAAAAAAAAACAGGCCTGGAGGCGGAAGCAACAAACCAAACTTGATGAATTTAATCCATCTTGAGTAATAGCTTTCTACGCCGAAATGACCAGAAGACGCTCAAGGTTGAAAAAAAAGTCGAAGGCATTGAATACAAAACACGTAAAGCTTTGCATAGAAGCAATGAGAAGTGAAACTGAAGATTTTTCAAGGGGAGTTTGGCAACCTCTTTACACTCCCTGCTGCTAACAGCTGGTCACCTGTTCTGTTAGTCAGCCTGATGTGTCGTTAAGACTTTTTTTTTTCGTTACGTGGCCTAGTATGTTTCAGTTTAAGTCATCACATGAAACCGACCTACTGAATTTACGTGCGACATGCTGCTCCTTAAACTTACAACACAAAATAAAACCCCTTAAAACCGAGCGTAATGTCGATCCGTCGGCTAGCTGCAGATTGAGCCGCATCATAATCTGTCAGTGAAGAATGTGCGAGCTAGGCTAACGTTAGCTTAGCACCGCAGCAGCCGTCCAGGTTATCTTACCTTTCCTTTCAAATCCAAGACATACACCGCACTTGCAGACATCTTGAACTAATTTATGCGAGCTTAGTTCGGCTCTTTGTCAGTACCTTATTGATAATGTCTGATAATAACGGGTGCAGGGCTAAAATCAAAGAACAGACTTTCATTCATAATACTGGAGGAGGAAAAACAAAAAAGGGGGAAAGCCACCCTTCCCTATGTGTCACTCGGTGCATGTGTTTATCGAGCGCCCCTCTATGGGACGGGAGGATGTACTGCACAGAGGAGCATGAGTCAGAATCAGAATTGGGTTTATTGACAAGTGAGTTTTTACACGTACAAGGAATTTGCTTTGGTGCATTAAAAAAAAAATCACACAGAAAATAAATAAAGATAAAGATAGAAAGATCTAAACTGTACAGGATAGATGTTTACCATGTGGTCGTGTTCTCCAATAGAAATTGATTAAACAGATATTTGTTTGTGAAAGGATGTAGTAAATTGGTGATATTTTTCTCTATAGACATACTATCAGACAAAAAGATCATTTTTTAGAGTATTGTCTCTTTTACGGAGGTTCAGTCACGTTAAAACTCACCTGTTTTGTAAGCATTTTATCTTGTAATGTGTGTAGTTTTAATGTGTGTAGTTTTATTGTTATTTCTTGTTTTATATTATATACAGCACCTTGTAACTCTGGTTTTTGAAAGCTGCTCTATAAATAAACTTTAAATATTTATTAGATGTTATTATTATTATTATTATCTTTGCCCTGTGTGGGAGGCTAACTGAAAGGGGTTATTCTGCTTGTAGCCACCATGCGCCCTGAATTACCTGAGACACTCTCTTCACCTGAAATAATAAAGTATACTAATTCCTGAATGGTATGAAATGTCATCAGATACTCATGGTGTTGTTCACTTGTGCTGTACGTGTGCTACGCGATGACTGATGGGTGCAACATGGAACCGGTTGCTATCATGACAACAACCCAGACAGAAACTACTCACTCATTTTTCCCCATTTCTGTAGACATGGAATGAGATTCTTGACAGACTAATGCTGTGGTTTCCAACTTCCTCTTCCTAACTTTCTCTTCCTATTATATATTTTATATTATATTCAAAACCGTTCAATTACCCCACATTGTGAAATCAGTAACTGCAAGATGTTTGTGAAAACAATACTAAATCATACATATTTAATGGACTTATTTTTTTGGGAAAAATTCAGTGTTTTCTTGTCCCTGATGCTTGGCCATTGTTCTATTAGACAATTAACAATTTACTTTATGTTTACTTTTCTTCACATAACTGAACCAAATTGTTGAGAGATGGAGATCAAAAAGGCCTTGTGACCCCCATGAAGCTTTAGCGACCCTTGATGGGGACCCCTAGGTTGATTAACACAAAGTTATATATTCCGTTTCATATGTAAACTATTATAATTGAAATAAACAATATGATTTCCTTTTAATTTGTCATCATTAAAATGTTATCAATAAAGAAGTGACCTTTTGTTAGATAATGACTGTTGATGATTTGTATGAAAACATTCAATGTTAATTTATTCTGACACAGTGAGAATACAATGCACATATCACAGAAATAGATTCATGCACCCGTGTTCTTCAAAAGTTTCAAACAATCTTAAAAGCCTCCATGTTTTATGAGTTGTGTTACAGTAACCTACTTCTTTCTGTCATCAGCCTTGGTTTTATCTTGTAGCTCCCCCTACTGGATGATTGGATGATCTGCACTAGACAACTTTTACAGTTTTATCAGTTACCAGGTTTTCGGTATAATACTTAACTGTTTAGATCAAACTGCAATGGAACGTGCTAAGGTTGTGGTGTTTCATTCATTTATCATAAAAAAATAAAAAATAAAACACATTTTATCCACAATAAAAAAACTATAAATTACTTAATTATTAAAACTCAAGTCCTTATTGAGAAATGGTGTTTCATTACTATTTTATTGGAGTTTATTGGAGTTTCATTGCAACAGTTTTTATATCAGAAAGCCAGTAATTTTCCTCCTGTGACCCTATCCTGTCACTTAATGTCACTTGTTGCCTCCAATGTCAGTCTTCCTGCCCTTCACACAATCACTTGCTCCCAGCAGGCTCAGCAGCTATTCAATGAAACTACACTAAACTAAAAGGGGACAACGTAACCCTGTAAACATCTCGTTCTAAAACTTTGGGCTTTCTAAAGTCAATAAAGCCCAAAGTCATTTGATTGGCTTGAGTTCATGCAAGTTGCATTAAGATTTCCATTAATTGGAATTAAACAGCACAACCCATGCCATGAAAAACAGCCCAAGACCACAAGAAAAGAGAAGTCTTTTACACTGATTTAATGAAAATAATCCAGACACTTGTAAAAGTGTGGTGGAGGGGATATTAGTGCATTGTAAGTCAAAGTGCCAGGCATGCAAATATTCTTTGTACTTTGCTGATGTCTTTGCATATTGGGTCTCTTTCCTGATATCAGACAATCAAAATCTAAAGTAAAACTGGTCAGTGTTTGTATCCTACAAGGAAAATATTGTTTTTCTCGTCAATGGAAAAAATCTGAAGCACCAACTATTAATCAATGGCTGAATAGCCTCTAAAACTGTCTGGCCATGGAAAAACTGACGTATGCTACTAAGTCCACAAACAGACAAAAAATATGAGGATGCTTAACGCACTGCCTGGAAACCAGTGGTGCCTGGAGAAGTGGGTATACTCTAAATTTATGTCCCTTTTTTTTTTAAAGCGGATGATCCAGCAAAGGATAAACGCCCTGTGTTATAAACAAAGACTACTCTTGCATATTAAGCTCATCCAAAAATGTGCCAGTAGTATTTGCACATTGTCACTTAACTTCTGCTGCTTTACTTCATGGAACAGGGATCATTGTGAAAATAAATTGGACAGGTGGGACAACTACATAATTGTGCATTTTGAGAGCTGTATTTCTTATTCCTTACTCCATCCATTCATGAAAGTCTGTTTTGTCTTGCTTTTTTCAGTCCATGTTTATTGTGGAATATTATCATATTATAGTATAGCATTCTCCATTGCAAAGTTGCAAATGTGTGTCTAACTTCATCAAGGTTGACTCAGCCATAAGTGTTTGTGTGACCCCCATCCTAACTTTATGCTGAAACACAACTTGATTATCTCACTGACTATAACTGCTGATGTGCAAATCTTAAATGGCAGCCATGCAACAAATACTGACTTCATCAGAGGTGAAAAGACTCATGAAACACAAGAAGCATCGCTGATTCATATATCTAAAAATATACCACTTATTAATATCTCAGTGTATTATAATACACAAAGCTTACACACTAATTATTGCGGTTGCATAGGCTAACCATTAAAATAACTTGCTCAAGTACACTAACCCAAGCAGCTTTTCACCTCTGTGTATTGTGAACAGAGACCAGGATGTGGAGAGATGAAGGATTGCAAAGAGATACAAGATAATGTGATGTGTGAATGAACAGCTGGGTAGTTTTGGAAGAAACACGGTGTACAAATTCTGCACTAGAATTAATAAAAGTTAAATATAGAGGTAACTGAAGCAAGGGACAAAAAAACATTTGTTTTATAAGTGAAAACTGACAACCCCCCCAGTGTGAAAAGCCTTTCAGCACTGGGCTTGTGCAAGACAACTGTGTCTCATCAAAGTGACAGATCTCTGATCCTTTGGCTGGTAAGATGGAGTCTAGACATTGTCAGGAGTCATAGATACAACTGGACTGAGTTACAGAGCCAAATATAACAGATTGCCACTTCCCTCAGCCACTTCCCTACACTGTACACAGTGTTTGTTTGTGGGGCTGTAGCTGGGGCTCACTGGATGTGGTTGCGTAGTTAATGAACATGTTTGTACAGAAGCCTCAGAGCTGAACAGGACTGACGTGTGTTTACTTTCGTTGCCGAATGGGCTTGTTTGAATACACTATGAGTCAGTGCATCACATAGGTGTTACATACATGATAAGTCAGAGGTGCAGGTGTTGCCACAGAAAACATTTGTAATGTTAGCTGCTTGGTATTGTCTCCTTAGACAGAATACTGGTATAAATAAATGTTTTCTGTGTGTAAAACTGATCATACAGTAGCAACATTAAGACCAAACTGTAACATCAGTATACACATATCGCTTGCATGACATCAGGCACTTGAGGCTACTAAAACTGTACTAGTTTGTATTCTTCATGGTAGTGTTCATATACACTATAATCTGTTCCACCATTCCCATGGCTTTGTGATTTATACTTAGCAGGTCTTTGACTCTACTCCCAAGGCGATCCTGTGGCTTTTGGGGGAGTTTTTACCATACAAGGAGAAGAGGAGTTTAGCTCAGTTTCCTGTGGGAGGGTTCTGATTTCTCTCACTCCGCATCTGATTCACTCTGTTTCTATTTCTCTCTCCCTTACCTCCTCTCTCTGTTCTCCTGTGCTGGTTTTGCTCCAAACCTCCTCTCTGCTCACTATACAACTCGAAGAAGTGAAAGAAGTTTATTAAAAAGAGAACATCACTAAAACACTTCCAAAATAAATATCTGTATCTGAGCAATTTATTATCATAACACTGTGTGCAGCCTGCATCCTGACAGACCAAATAAGGCACACAGTCACCACTCTTTATCATTGCAGGTCATGATGTAAGCTTGTATTAACCCCAGGATTTTAAAGCTATCAAACTGCCACCACTTTCACAAACTTATGCCAAAAAAGGCTGCAGTTTCCCTCCCCTGCTAAAAAGAATTCTGCTAGTTTACTTACAGTCTCTAACTTGCATAAAGATTTGTGTATCTATGTATTTGCTTTCAATTTGGCAGCTTTCCTCAGGGTGATCTGACTTCTGAAAAGCCTGCAAGTTACACGCCCTGTATACACAGTTCTTACATACTTATATATGTGATATGAGGCAGAACTGAAACTGATCTTATACCAAATGACCTCAGCTAATATAACGTGTAATGACTTTCTCAACACACAAAGGGACATTTAATCTCCCAGTTTACCTGGATCTACCAGCAACAATATGCTCCTCCAACTCAGAGGACCTGCAGAAAACAGAGACTCTCAGGTTTGGTTTCAACTCACTCTTCCTGGACAGTGTCTTCTGTGCCGCAGCCTGAAAAAGTGGCAATGCAACACGAAAAAGATGCATTTGTATGCAAGTGTATCTTCAGATGTCACTTAAATGGCCACCGTACGCCT